ATAAGTTATAAAATTAAAACTTATTCATATCGCATTTTATCTTGTTTACAACCATTAACAAAATAATCTTACATATTTAGTCAAATCTTCATATATAGTAATAATTAAAAGTAATATAATACAAAATTAAAAATTATTAAATTATAATATATTTATAAATAGTTAATAAAATTTAAATAAAATTAATAAGTATAATATATTAATAATATCAGTTTTTATTTAATAAAATTTAATTTACTATTATTAAATACAATTTTGAGATAAATATATGAACTTGCACAAATAAGTATTATATTTCTTTTGATCTTTTATTTAAAAGATCAAATGATAAGTAAATATTATATAGAAGTCATAAAATAAATAATTATTTTATTTATCTTTTTTTTTCTTAAATTATATTACAGCTTTTTAATAATAAAAAATAAACATCAAAATATTATACAACTCTTAAAGAAAGAGCTGAAATAATCATTTTACTTCAAAATAAATATATTACAAGAAAAATAGCAAAAACTCATAAAATTAGTTCTTTTACTATCTTATATATTAATAAAATATGATATGAATAATATATTTTAAATAATTTAAGTAAGTCTGGTTGTTTACAGTTATTAAATAACTGGTTAAAAAGAATAATAATCTATCTTATTACATTTTGTAACTATTTTATTGCCATTATTATCCAAAATCATCTTTGTAAAACTGAAAATATTGAAATTTCAGAGCATATTATTTATTATATACTAAAAAAGAATGATTTAGTAACAAGAATCAAATATCTAAAGTCTAAATATTAATAATATTATCTTGAGTTTGTTAAAAAATATAAAAACTAGATCTATGAAGATTAGTCAAAGATAATCTGGTCTAACAAATCTAAATTTCAGATTTTTGGATCTGATAGAAAATAGTATTATTAGCAAATAGATGAGTTATTAAAAAGTCATCATATTAAATCTATGGTAAAATTTGATAATGAAAAAATAATAATATGAGGTTGTTTCACCTTTTGTGGCATTGGTAACTTTTGTAAGATTGATAGGAATATGAATAGCATATTATATCAACAAATTCTTGAAGAAGATCTTATGAATACTATTGAAGAACATGAATTAGCTATCAATGAGATCATTTTCTAACAGGATAATGATTCCAAATATATAGCCAATTTGATAAAAGAGTGATTTGATAATAATAATATTACTATTTTAGATTGGCTAGCACAATCACCTGATCTAAATCCAATTGAACATTTATGAAATAAAGTAGATTGTCATCTTTGGTGTCTTTCTAGATCAATTTCAGATATGGAAGACTTATGGGAAAAAATACAACTGGTTTGGGATGAAATTGATGTGAATTATTGCACAAATTTAATTTGTTCTATGCCAGAAAGAATTTGTGATGTAATAAAAGCACATGATGGTTATACTAGATGGTAATATATCAGATATGGTTAAAAAAATAAAAAAAATATGATGTTTTTATTTTATATTAAGGGTTATACAAATTTATATTAAAAACAAGCAAATATAATGCAACACTAAAAATCAAATAAATGTTGTGATTGTGATATAATTGGTTTAATTATCCATGTTGAATTTATTATATTTAAGTTATTTGTATATATGTAATTAAATTTATTAACTATAATTTGATGTTCTTAAATCTGTGCAAAGATATCACGATTTAACAATTTTTAATTTTGTGTTGCATTACTTTTGATCGCCACTGTATAACCCGTTAGGATATGAAAAACTGTGGTTATGGAGAGATAGCAACTATATAAAGTTCAAATTTCTTATGCTTCATAAGAAGACGATAATTGAAAAAATGCGACTATATTAATTTTGTGACTACATGTATATGAAAGATGGCTATATAAAGATTGAACTGTATAATAACTAATAATATTAATAAATCGTAAAGATCAATAAAAATATTATAATCTTTAACATACTGAATATATTGAATACTAATTTAAAATAATCTATGAGAATATGTTGAAAATTAATGAGATTAGCTTTTAGTAAGACAATAAAACAATGATTTGCTAATAAACTAATGAGAAAAATTACAAATCACGTGAAGAGTATTGACACCCGATTATTATGCAAGGTTTATACATGTACAAAAAGGGATCCAATGTAATAAATTTTTAAAAGCCACAAAGGTTTTTACCATGATTTACATATAAGACGTGATCACACCATATTGATATTGACAGGAAACATGTAATCGAATTCGGAAATTGTCTTCCAAATCGGTCATATATCATGTAGATTAAGTATTTGATGATGCATAAATTTTAATATGCATTTATAGATTAAGATTCGAAGTGTTTTATTGGTTTAGACTCTAAATGCATAAAATTATAATTTTTTTGGCCGCACCGATGTTATGCAATTGGAAGTACCAACCGAACATATATTTTTGCCGTTGGTTGCCAATATCCTCGCCAATTTATTTTCGACTTTGTGAGCGATTGTATATATTTTGACACATACGATGCGCCATCCACAAAATAGATTATAATTTAACATTGCTCAACTAGATCTTCGAATAAAATAATATTATTCTAAAGATATAGTATAAAATAATTTTTAAGCGTGTTAGGGTCATTCTTTATATATTGTTTGTAAACATTATTATAAAACAGTTTTTTTGTTAGATTCTAAAATTCTGGCTTTTTTATCTATAGTTTTCTCGTTTAACGTGATATCGTGGACAAAGAATTTTATCATGATCATGAATCAATTTCACATATAACTCAAGAAAAATGGATTGCTCAATTTATTCATATCAATGAGATTGTCATATATAAACGAAAACAGCAGTAAAAGTATAATAGCGTTTTTATCTTTTTTTAAGTTATAAAAAACTTTTTAAGTCCGTTAATAATGTTATGATTTATTTGTGGGAATATATTGAATAAAATTATATTAACATTAATAGCATTATTGAAAAGATTATTTGACGGATATATATTTTCATTATACATGCCATATAGCTATAGCGGATCCTAATTTTGTCTAACGTTTCATATAATTGTTAGTCGTTGGCTGACAGTATTGCTAAATTTAAATTTCGGTTATTCTACACAATCAGCATCGATGAGAAAAACCACACTATGTGCTAAAGTAAGAGTTTAAGAAAAACTTTTCTCAACCAACAATATAGTGAATTACAATGAAATTTCCCTCTGTAAGAAATAATCTCCGTAAATTAAATCAAAAGGGTCAACTTACAGTTAGTGATGGGAGCCGCAGCTATTCTCTGATTTGCTGCCGCAAGTCGTAACTGGTTGAGGAGCCATCTTTACTCAGTGTTTATTGTAGTAAGGTTAACCGTATTAAACCAAAAATACAGAATTGCAATAAAGGAGTGAATATATTTGGATAAAAGTTTGATACAAATAGATAATGGTTTTTATTGCTGAAGAAATAAACCGCTCTATAGTCACCTCCCACATAGTCACAAAATTAATACAGTCGCATTTTTTCATTTTCCAAACCGGTTACCAGTAGTGATTGTCTTTGGCATATACATGGATTATTTATTTTTTCTCCTTATATAGGTCGGAATTTCACTAAATTACTTAGGTCACGAAATTGTACATAGTCATAACCTCACAGTCTTGTCATATCCAAAGGCGTGAGATCTGATATAGATAAATGCTAGGTTCGAAGTCAAATGGAAGTCAAATTCCGGGAACTGATACCCGAAGTAATGCTTTAGTCAAAGAAGATCATAATAGCTTAAAGAATTTTTTGCGGGTGTAAGGCTGTGTGACTATTAGATAGATGCATGATGTAATTTAACGACATAACTAAAAGTATTTCTCATTTGATTCATCGGATCTAAAGACTGCGCAAGATGGTGTGACTATGCATGATGCAATTCGAGACATCAGAATTTTGACTTTAAGTCGGAAATCATGAATACATATACTAAAAAGCGTAACTAAAAAAAGGATTGAAGCATGCAAACCATCAAACTTTGATTTGACGCCACAAGCAATTAGAAAATTAACGCGCCATAAAAGGTTTTACTTCCATAGATGTTCTTTCTGAATGAACTGTGGCGAATTTTTTGTCATACACGCAAGTGTCTATCTATACCTAATTCAAGCTTCAAAAAATTTTATAAATAATGTAATCAACACAATACATAACATACATCTATTCAAAATTGTATTTGTGAAGAGATTTCATAAAGAAAATAATTGAACAGAATTTTTGATGCGAGCTCCGTAGAATAGAAACAAAATATAAATACAAGAGAGGATTTTAAATTAATCTCTTTGACTTGAAATAATATAAGATAAAAGATCTTATTCTACGACTGTAATGCTTCAAGTTCAATTAAAAAATTAAGTTAAATTTTTTTTACATTCCGCTTCGAAATAAAATGGATAATGCAAATTTAATCGAAAAAAATAACGTTCCGTCAAATATTTCACGCATTGTTCCAAAATTTCCTCCCGAAATTACCGCAAAAAATCTTATCGAAAAAGCAATTTTAAAACTCGAAACGTCTGGACACACTTCGCGCGTTCCGAATGCGTTTATCGCATATCGCATGGCGTTTTGTAAAGAACTTCGCTTAACTAATAACCAAATTCTTTCTCAAACTCAACTTTCTTCGTTTGTTAAAGAAGCTTGGGGAAAAGAACCACAATACGTGCGCAGTGAGTATCAACGAATTGCAGCGGAAGCAAGAGATCTCTACAAGCAAACAATCCAAAGTCATATAAAACCACGGCTTGCAGAGAAAAAATTAGCAGAAGAACGCACGCCTCATAAAAATGATTCGAATATGAGCCAGAATTTATACGAAGTTGACCTCACACGCTTTGTGGACGTCAAAAGCAACGATTTAACTCCATTCGATCCGAATGTATCAAACAATACATTAGGAAACTTAGAAGCATTAGATTCTCACTCATTATCTTCTGCTGCCGAAATCGAATTAGTCCCAAACTTTCTAAGTTATGAAAATACTAATAATGTCGCATTTATCGAAAGCTGTAAGTAATTTTCTATTTAAATTCAATAATCAGTGATGATATTTTGCAAGTATTTACTTTATATTTTTATTTAGATCCAAGCCAACTAATTACGGATTCTTTAATTAATTCAGGTGATGTTTATGACTTTAGTCAAAATTCGAACCAAAAAGATTGCAACGCGATAAATCATGAGCATTGCGATTGCGAGTGCTGCAAAGACAAAATTATGAAATTGGAAAACAAAGTTAATGATTTAGAAGGAAAAGTCTCATTTTTGATGGAATTTATAGGCTTAAAGTTAACTCAAAATCAAAATAATTTACCATCTATTTAAACATGTCTAATGTCTAATATAGCCAAAAGAGTTAACTTTATGAATTACGATTAATTAATTCTTTTCCTAAGGTCAACATAAGATATTATGGAACTAGCATTCTACATGTAATATGAGAAAAGTGTACTAATATGATTACTTTTATTTCACTTGAACAAATTTTTAGTTTATAAATAAACATTGATATCAGTCTTTATTTCTATCGCTTATTAGTCAGTTATTTATGCATACTTATGCAGTGAAATGCAGTTCGCAGGTGACCTATTAAAAACAAGACAAATTTTACATTTTGAGAGTAAAATAATTAGAGAATTTCAAGCTTGATACCCGTCATGTGTTTACATTTATAGAAGATTTACTTTATTTAAAGTGCAAATTTTTTATAAAATTGAAGACAAAAAGGAAATTGACATGCCCTGTAAAAATGGAACCAATTATTTTGATATTCATTAACATCACCAGCAATTCTTAGAACATCAACTTTAATTTGTGATCCCACGGAGTGAGTACAGTACATATTCTGTAAATAATATAGCAAAGTTATACAAAATCTTTCATAATAGATTCAAATGAAAAATTTGGAAATTCGCGATACAAAAAGCTATATCTTAAATATCACATGATATTCACGTAAAAATGATCAACAAAGTTATGCATCAAATGTAATGTACTGTATATGCTTAATACAGTGCAGGACACTTAAAGACGCCAATAAAACTAGCCATCTTTAAACAGTAAAGGATAATCATGCAAAGGTGGTACAAAAAAAAAGAAGGCCGCTATTTTGTAATAAATTGGCCTAGCTACAAAATAACGGCTTCTTTTTTAAAAAAATAATCACCCATTTTTGAATAGTATTCGTTTAAAAATGCCCAAGTTTCATATGATCGATGGGTCAGTGGGACATATCCAAAGTAATAACATGATCCAGTAAAATTGGATTTTAATTTTGATTGGTCGATCCCCGGGTCACTTTTTTATTTTTTATTGGTTATTGCGTTTTCAAAATCCGAAACCGCTTTTTTCAAACCTTTTTCAAATCCGAATGCCCAGAAAGAGAAAAAATATTCGGCTTCTTCGTGGATATAATATTATTACTATATAACACGTGATTTTTCAAGCACATGATTTTTTCGACAAGTAAGTAAAAATCGCTTTTTTTTGGCTTATTTAAATTTGATTTGATTTTTGAAACCAGAAATGGGACAATCACGTGAATTGGCGTCTTTAAGTGTCCTGCACTGTACATGTATTAATTTTGCATGAAAAAAATCATTTGTTAAATTAAACAATTAGATTCAAACTAAAGTATAAGTTTTATTAAGGGGAAGTTAGTATAATCTATATGATAGTTAAATTATTAAAACAAATAAGAATCTCAAATAGTAAAGAATACTTATGACTTTTATGTAAGGTTATTAATTGGTTTGAAGCAAGCCACTTATAACAGTAGTTTGAATTCAAACCGATCCAAAATGGTTTAACTCGGTTTTATTGTTTAGTTTATACTGCAGTTTGAAGATTAATTATATATTTCAAATAATAAATACATATGCATACAGTTGCAGATTTAATGATTACAAACTTAACAAGATAATTTAGTTCGAATAGGCTTACAGATTGCAAAAGCTGCTTACCAATATTGAACATTTAATAATATCGATAGTTAATAGATATATATTAACAGACCTTCCTAAGTGCACGTCGCCGGGAGGCATGGAAAAATCAGATATAACGTGCATTTAGAAAAAAATTTGCATTTACGAGAGCAAAAACTTAATAATTCATGTACTTTTTACTAAATAAAAGGAGAGAAAGGTCTGACTGTATTAGTATACATATATGGGGTGGTCAATAAAATCAGTAAAATCTTGATTTTGCAATAATTAATATTATCTTCCGCATTTTACATCAATATGTAAAAAAATTTTAGAATGTAACATTTGAAAATTTTATTATGTAAATTGATATTCAGTATTAACTGAAAAATGGTCAATATATTGTTTCTATTGTTTTTATTATAAAACTTAATTTAAAAAATAGATTTTCCTGGTTTTTATTGACCACCCATATAATGATAATGATTGATAGCTAACAAAATCATCAATATAAGCACGTTTGAACTGCATATAGTTAAGCAAACCAAGGATTTTTCCAAACCGAACCAATAATAGTCTACTTATGAGTTCGCATACATTTTTCCATTTAGGAAAATTATGATACAGTTTTAATATAGAACTTATTGCAAACTTTATTATCCCATTTTTCTATTAGCAATCATTATAAAATATTAGCGAACATCATATAATGTGTTACTTGTACTAACTTATCGCTAGTTCATTATACATGCATAGTACGATTTACTTTAAAAAGTAACAAAGATGCATCTTATGAAGAGAGGGTATATTTTTCAATTTTTACATCCTTTCTTAGCTTTTTGACCCCACAATTCCTCTGCGTTATAGTGTCATTATTTTGAAACTAAGGAGAAAGTGCATTTTTTTAAAAGGAAAACGTACCTCGCTAACCAAAAAGAATGGTGATTGGAGTCGCTTAAAAGATCTTAGTCGATTAAAACAATCTTTCCTATTGTTGATAACGGGTTTGTAATTAACCGGTCCCAAATACTATTCCTTATCTTATTAATGATAACAAATCTCATTATTGTGAACAATAAAAAAAACATTTTTTTTAACTGGATGAATTCAATTCTTTATTTATGCATGATACTTACATAAAAGAACGCGTGATTTTTTATTTATGAAAAATTGACGCATACTTGAAGATAATTATAAAAATTTTTCAGCCTCGGAAAACATCATCACAAATTTTTGAAAACTTCTTGGACATGCTTTTATTAGTAAATCCGGCATGTGTAGAATGTTTTCGTATGTGTAGTTAGAAATTGTTCATAAATTGATCTCAAAAAAAGCTGAATCTAGTGTAAATGGTATGGTATTTGTGTTTTTATGAAAGGGTTTGAATGTAACATGTATTGTAAACAATATTTTAATTCAATAAAGAAATCGAATTAATACGGACAAATAAATAGATAATACATCAGGAGCAGCTCTAGTGTAAACGTATGGTATTTGTGTCGTTATAGAAAGGTTTGAATTGTAAACAATATTTAGTTTAAATAAGAAATTTCCGATGCGAAAGACTAACAATTAAAACAGCCAAATAAATATGGAGATAATATACATCAGGGGTAGCATGTGGGCTACAATGTGCTCTATACGCAGCTACATATTTGGGGATTATTGTGACCCAAAATGTTAATGATTAATTGGGTTCTAATTTAGAAACATTTCCATGCAAAGTCGATCGTGACTATACGTAGCGCCTATTCTGGTTAAACGTTAATTAACGTTAAACTTTTTACCGTTAATATAAAGTTGATCTGTAGGTTTCCCTATTATAAAATGTATGGTTATGCATCATTTATCAGCGTAAATGTTAAGTAAGAACAAAGACTTACTTTGTTGGATCACTTTTGTTAATATAATTGAGTAAATTCATGTATTCTAACCTAAACATCTCGTTTTTTTACTTTAAACATCATAAACTGCAAAAGGGTTCTCCGAAAACTCAATGATAACGTTCTTATAATTCAAGTAATTCGTCAACACAATGCCATTTAGCCAATAAATAATTATTTATCTCTCTTGAAACTTGTGTAATTGTAATACTTGATTAAATGCGACAATGAGACATTTCTTCAATTAACTGAAAATATTAAGATAAGAGTTTTAACCACTATGTAACTATGTCTAAAACATATATTATATACATATATACATATACACATACATACATATATATATATTTATATATATATATATATATATGTATGTATGTATATGTATATTGTAATATAGACTGTAGGGTCTACCCTAAAATTCAATCTGCATGTTTATGTCAAAAAATTAGTCCCTTTTTTTAAATTCAGGTTTTGTACTTTATGTACTTGTAAGCCATAATTAGCTGAGTCAATTATCATTGGTGTATTTTTTTTTGAATATTCTACTAATTTAAGTTTTTATTTATTATCGAAGCATACGTAAACATATAAATAGTCAAAGGTTTTACTGTCATTTCGAATTTTGGTAGTTTTGAGCTTCCCAATAATACTCTAAAATTTATAACGAAATTGTTAACAAATAACGAAATAATGAAAGTAAATTCGACAGATACCTCTCCCCTTAATATAAAACTACCATTTCCCCCGCAAATTACTTCATCGAATTTGATAGAGAAAGCAGTTACAAAGCTCAGAACTTCTGGCAAGACCAGTCGCATTCCTAATGGGTTTTTATGCTACCGTATGGCTTTTTGTAAGGAGCTTCAAGCTTTAAAGCATCCTGTTATCACACAACCTCAACTCTCGGCATTGGCAAAACAGTCGTGGTTAAAAGAACCCGAACATGTACGAACGGAGTATCAAAAAATTGCAGCAGAGGCTAAAAATATCTATAAACAATCGTGCATCGAACAAAAATTAATTTTACATGAACAAAAAAACAAGTTGAAAAATGTTCAAGAAAGTTCTCCAGCTACGGCAAACTTTAATTATAGCACTAGTACTGCAAGCTCATCGAGTTCTTCTCCCGAAACTAAAAATCTCAACAACTTACATTTTTCTCTTCAAAAATTTACTGAAAATGGACCATTTACGAATACCGAATTATATCCTAATTTTCATACTAGTGGTACCACGCCTTTCTCATATAACTATCCAAATTTTTTCTGCCACCAGCTATTAACTCCGGAGGTACAACCGAGAAAGCTCGACAATACTCAAACAAATTTGGGGTCACTTCAATTCGAGTGTATTAGTCCGCAAACTTTGTTAACTCAAAATTCGATTACTAATTTTTCGTCCTCAGAAAACTCGTGCGAAGAATGCAATGGAAAAATAGATGCTTTAACTCAACGTGTTGAAGATTTAGAAAAAAAATTGACCGAGCTTACAAAGCAGCTTAATCAAATTCAGCAGACAGCATATTCCCCAATTTCGGATTTAACCGAGTGATAGATTAATTTCAATTTTCTCTATATATATTATAACTAAATTGGAAATTAGGAATGACTTATATAAATTTTGTAAATACTGTTAACATTACTTCTCCCTAAAAATTTAAGTATAAGTATATGATTATGTTTTTATGGTTTTCCACGTGCATTATATATGAATTTATATAAATGACGTTTATTTTATAGAAATAAAATATTCACTATGCAGCATGCATAATCTAACTTTTTCAAAATAAACAGCAAAGATTAAATTTCCATTAAACAATTTTATACAGGTGATATATTATATAATATATATTATTATTGAAAGTTTTACATTGTTTAAAAGCGCCAAGTAGATTATTAGGGGCAGGTCTATTTTATCAATGAAAATGACGACTCTTGTTTTTTCAAATAAATAATGCAAATATACTGTTTTCGTGTTTAAATGCATTCATATTTTGGCTTTCTACAGATTTATACTATTGTTACTTTATATCTATAAAAAAATGATTAGCAAACGCCACGCCATTATTGATGTCACTAATAAAAAAAATTCCACTTTAATAATTTGTACACGAGGAGATTCTAAAAAAATATCAATTATCATCATAAATAGGACAAGTTTTTTTTTTAAATAAACAATCGTTCCTATATAGATAAAGAGTATACAGTTTTCTAAATATAGTTCATCAAATAAACAAATTATAGAACGTATTTTAATAAAAAAATTAATGTATTAATTTTCAACATATTGAATAAATGAGGTAATCAAAAAAGTTTAAAAGGAAATTAAGCCATTACTTGATGGGATATTCTGATAAATTCGATTATCGGGATTCAAGGTAAAAAAGTCTTGCCTATTTTGTCTAATCAAATTTCGAATATCATGGAGGACATCATCTTTGAAGATCGAACATATAAAACCTAAGGCAACATAAAAATTGAAAAGATATTTTTTCTAATTATTTATGACCGCGACAGAAAGACTCAATGGCGTGAGTATTTCTGGTTTCTTTTATACTTAATGGATCGGGGATATCGACAAGGAAAATTTCTTGTTAAAGATTTCTATAATAATTCATTTTCGAAGTTAATAATGGTTTTGAGAAAAGTTAGTACATTAAATTTACACATTGTTTGCAATTAAAAGCCTATTCCTTTAAGGCAACAGATGCAATGCAGTTATTTTACGTATTATAATAAGAAATCGGTACCGTTTACCTAAATTCTCAACAGTACATAAGAAAGGTTTAAAATTTCCTTTCTCCTTGTTTCAGCTTGATCCCTTTTTTCTTTTAGGTAATATAAGGAGTTTACTATAACTGATTTTCTAATTATAAAACATGAAAGATCACAAGTGTTGCAAAAGAAAACAAAAAAAATCCAATTTATTTACTTTATATATAAGGGTTTATTGTAAAAGGAAAATTCATAGAGTGGATTAAGATAACTCTTTGGATGCTTTGTTACATATTGCAGATGCAGCGTTTAAATATAACAATTTCGAGATTTGGCGTTTTTTTCTTGATTACATAAAAGTTAATTGTTGAAATTTTCTTTGATAAAAAGATCTTATTGAATATTGATATCAATTGATAGAGATCGATCTTTACCTTATATAAAACAAAAAACCCAATAATAGATTTCCCAAATTTAGAACAATTAATGGGGCAATAAATAGACATGGTTTCACGACGGAGACAAAATCCGACTATAGGATTTTGGTGGGTCGTACGATTAACATTTTATCAAGGAAAACGTAATTCATTGGTCATAAAATGAAAATTTCAGTGTCGCTTAAAAACAAATTGATAAAAAACACTAAAAATAAACAATGACATTCAAATATGCAATTATGAACCTTTTTGATTCTTTATAATCGAATCTTGACTTTGAGTTTCTGCTATGCCTCCGTCATAAGTGGAGGCACGAACTTTTCTGACCATATGGTAATAATTATTATGTGGCAAATTTCACATGCTACGATATACATGTCTATTTGCTAGAAATCTATATATAATAAGAGACAATGATATTTGTTAAATATTAATTCATTATCCTTACATTCTATTGAAATTTATCATCCTGCAGCTTAAATTATACTTAAAGTAACCTATTTATTTGTTGAAATGAATTTTTCTGCAAATATGCTACACGTATCCGCTTCTATCCTAAAATAGCATATACAGTGGTCGTCGGAATTTTTAAATTTGTATAAGATAAAGAATGAATAGAATTTTTCAAATATATGCTTTTTGATATAAGAACAAAGTTACTTAAGACATACATATTGGTATAATATCATATTAAAAATATCATTAAATTATAAACAACTAAAAACAACCATAAATGAAGCTAACTTTATATCTTTATCAAGTGTTTAATGAAAAAATGTAAGAATTATATCAAAATTTATAAATATCTTCTTTGTAATATAATGAACAATTTCACCGATAATAAAATAATAGGATTACTTTTTAATAATATAAGCTCAATCTTTGTTGGATCTGACTTATTTTTTACAATAAATTTTACTGAGAAAAGTGTAATAATAATTATTAATAATTGATAATAATTCAGTAAAATATTTAAATCAAACTTGTTTTCCAGGTATAAAGAAGATGTGTCTAAATTATCAGGCAATTTTGATGATTTTTCATTATTCTATGCACTATATCAAAAATTCCGAATATTTATGACGAACACTGTACATGTATGTTGTGCCTCAGCTCACAACTTGCCTAAACCTAAATTAAGTTAAGGTTAAGGTTTTTATTGAATTTGACAAAAATGAGCACGTGAAAATTTCATTAGCTGAGACATGATCTAAGGCACATAATAAATACTGTAAAAGATATTGTAATTCTTTCAGTTCGCATGGAAAGTAAAGGTTTTTAAATTAATGTGCAACTTTTAAAGACAACGAAGCAAAAGGGTATCTTTAGAACGCCTCTAAGTAGGGCATCATACTCTAAGAAAATCAACATATGTTACATTCCCTTCCATGTCAATGCAGGTTTGAATACAATTTGATATATAAAAACATAAGAACTATATTACTAGTAATGTTATTACAATCTTTTCAATTTGTAAAATGATACATATTGTTATAATACAATTCTTTAAGTTGAACATTTTTTACAAAGACTCGTTGACTAAAATTTTGCATAGTCGCAAGTCAGATTGATGCTTTTTCATCGAATCTGTTTCACAATTATCAAAATTCCAGTGGATTTCAATGACTGGAGTAATGCGAATAGAGATGCATAGAAAAGCCACGTAAATTTTCACAACAATCCTTTTTAATGGAGGATAATTATATGGTAAAATTTTCCGCCAATATTTTCCATGAGAACTAGGAGACGGGTTGGTTCATTAATAGAACCGTTTGAACCTTTCCAATACTGTATATTTGAACCTATTCCTAACTCAATGTGGCATTTGATTCGGTAGATAAACGGCCTGAGAAAGTGCTATCCTACTCCTAACTGTTTGCAAATGCTATGCTAAAATATAAATGAGCATATAACTATTAAATACTCATAATATTGAAATAAAAACGAAATCCAAGTTGATAAATTGGCCATATTAATTTTGCAATCGATTCATTTTTGTTTTTACATAATCTTTGATTTTATAAGTTTATAAATTATCTAAATTTGTTATCAAAAGAAAAGGAAAAAAATTTCAACTTACGATTAAAGTTATGTGAATTTGTTATTACTTTATCAAAAAAAAGATTTTTATTTGAATTTACTGTAACATTTATGAATATATATTTTAAATTTCACCTAAAATTTAATATATAAAAAACTAATCAGTAATATTATCCCGAAAAATCTGGACAACTTCAGAATTTGCTAAAAATATAGTAAAAATTAAAATTTCTTTCATATTAAAATTATTTTGATATTCTATTGATGTTAACACGCGAGTATATTGGGCAAGACATCAAACAATTTAATTCAAATATAAGAAAGATGAAAATCTATATAACAACTGTCAAAGTTATAGTTTATTTCAGAAATTTTAGATTTTTCTGAAATAATTGTTCTAATTATAAAGTTATCACAAAAATTTTTTTAATTAAATTTCATGTTTAATGAGAAAATAATTTTTCAATAACTTGCAATTGGAATAATTAAAAAACATAAACTTTATTTTAATATAAAAACAAAAATTATTTCTTAATAAAATTATAAACTATAATACAGTAATGACCAAAAATAATGACTCAATGACTAAATTTATTAATAAAACATAGTGAAATTTGAAATTTTCTCTTGATATTAAAATTTATAATTTATTAAGAAATAATTTTTATTTTTATATTAAACTAAAGTTTATCAGTTGTAGTTTAACATATATTTTTTTCAGATTTTTTCTGAAAGAGTTGCTCTAATTATAAAGTTAATATAAAAATTTTTATTAATTAAATTTTATTTTTAATTAGTAAAAAGTTTGTATTAACTTTACAATTAGAGCAATTCTTTCAGAAAAAATCTGAAAAAAATATATGTTAAACTACAATTAATAAACTTTATTTTAATATAAAAATAAAAATTATTTCTTA